GCGAGGGTGATGACAACGGCTGACATACACCAAAAGCTTTAAAGTTAGCAAAGCGTTTATCTCCATTATCTCCTCTTTCAGAACTTGAAGTACATAACAATGTTCCTAAATCTCCAAGTATTCCAACCAAATTTCAACCTAATAGATAACTACCTGTTTCCTCTTAACATGTGGTTCAACAACTCGCAGCCCTCGCAGCCCTTGCTCCCATCACCTTGTCCACTTATACGCAATTGATACGGTCACCTCGAACCACAGGCTCCAAGGGTCTCGAGTCCCCATCACCCAGGCTTTCCCTCCCAAATTCACCTTCCAATCAATGCTCATTTTAAAGTGAACTCAACACAAAAACTCACCAGTTGTTTGAACTGAGTGAGAACTATGACGATACAACAAATCTAGCGGGGAAGTGCTCCCGATGGTGTGTGAGCTCCCACCACACTTCACAGACAGTATCTCCCTGGAGGCTCCAGAAGGTGCCACTACAGGGATTGCTGTCATCCACATTTTACAGAGGAAGAAGAAGGCTCAGAAAGGTTAAATGGCTGGCACATGGTCACTCAGACAGTCAAGGTCAAAGGCAGTTTCTGACAGGGGCTTTCCTGACTTCAAGTACAGCCATTTATAGACTATGACGTACTCCAATGGAGTCCCTGGAGTTTCCTGGTGGTCCAGTGAGCCTGGATTCTAGAAGGTCACCCCAACATGGCAGACTCCAGAACATCTTATGAGGCTGAAATAAGGCTTTACCTATAGGTCCAACACCCCATGTGCCTGCTGCCTCAGGACCAGATTGGCTCAACACAGAGAAGCTAGTGATAAGATTTTTGGCCTCAACAACTCATGAAACAGGATGTAATAAGTCCTGGAGAAGAGGACGCCCACACTGATTCACTCACGAATGTGCCAACAAGAAAAGAATCAAAACTAAAAACAATAGGTTGAGATGGGATCCTTTTTGTTTAAAATGACATTTACTTATTTCTTCTAAGAGTTCTGGTTTCTTTTAATAGTCTATATATTTTCTTTCCTTTAAAGAAAATTAAACATTGTTAATGTTGATGATTTCATGAAGACACAATGTTCGGTGAAACAAGGTTTTAGAGACCCATTAGGCCCAAAGGAACAAAGCCCTAACTGGTCATAAGCCTCACAATTGAGAATTTTACAACGTGACAATGGCGATTAGTGACACTGCATTATTTAAGTATGATCCTACAAAATGACATAACTGGGGCAACTTTATACAACGCAAACCTATATAATATTTCAAGTTAGGTTTAAGCTGAATTAAATAGAAAATTATCACAAAAATCAGACTTGTTGGAACAGTTTGATCTACCTAGTCTAAAAAAACAGGATTCGTGGCGCAGTGGATAGAGCACCGGCCCTGAAGTCAGGAGGACCTGAGTTCAAATCCGGCCTCAAACCAAACACTTGACACTTACTAGTTGTGTGACCCTGGGCAAGTCACTTAACCCCGATTGCCTCACTAAAAAAAAAACAAAAAAGGATTCACTGGTGCTTAAAATAGTCTCCACACTCTTCTAACATGATGGGTTGCCCTGGCCAAAAGATTCATCTCCATATGGCCCACCTGCACCGCTGAGCCTCTCCAGACTCAGCAAGGAGTCCAGGAAAAGCTGACTCATTCCAGGAAGGCTTCCCCACACAGAAGAGGAAGCGGCCAGGCTTGTGCTCCATGGTCCCAGCTTTGAAGAACCCAGGATCACTTCACATTATGATGACGCATTAGAGCGGGCTGAGCCTCTTCCATCTTTAAATTGGTGATTCTCTTGAATGGATAGGGTAAGAAGACAGATCTATTTCTCAAAGCTGTTCTAGAACTATCTGGTTGCCAGTTCTGGATCCCATCGTTAAAGTAAGAATCACACAGAGCCTCACGACCTGGCTTAACGTCAGAATTGGAGCTTTTTTCCCGAGCTTCCGCTTCTTGTAATCTTCAGTCTTCCATCAAAGCCTAATTTAACCACATATTCCAACCCTGTTCAAGGTAAGGTGCTCCTAAAAATACTTTAGGCAGCATTGTTCAGGTGATGCTATTTTACAGTTAGGGTCTCATAATGAGTAACAACCATCTGAAAAGTCCCACATGGGCTCAATTAAGACTCGGCTACCTTGGACAGCTAAGAGTATTGTGGTGAAACCTTAATGCCTTGTCCAATCGCTATCATTTCTTCACTTCTTTAAATCCATTAAGGGCCAATTTAGTCATTCATATATTTTCACGTTCTTCATAAACATCTCCAAAATCAAACACCCTGCTCCCTCCAATAAGGTTACAGGTACACAAAGATCTGTTTCAAATCATCTAGGATGATAGAATTATCATAAATTTATGGACTTCATGTAAATATTGTCCATTAAAAAGTGGCAAGAAACCTTAAAGGAAATAGTATTCTAATGAATGAAGGCAGGGAAAGGGGAAGAGAAACCAGTGCAACAAATCAAGCTGGAAGAAAAAAGGCTTCAGCGTGCACACAGACTGTGTCAAATGAAAAATAAACTATTCAGTACTAACTCTGTGACGGCTACTGACTTCACTAAGGGCTAGGGATACAATGACAAACATGCAACATAGTTCCCGTCCTCAAGGAACTTAAGTTCTGAGAAGAAAAGACAACATAGAGAGGGGAGCTTATGTTGACTCTGAAGATGTGTAATATCCTATTCTATTGAACAATTAAATCCAGGATTAAGAATATCTGCTCCAAAGTCAGGAGGACAGGGGATTTTATAATTTAAAAAATTAATCTGCATGCCAACGAAAAAGACACATTATCAAAATGTTCAAGTTATTTTGAATTTAAGACCTACAGATTGAGCCTAGTTTGTTTAAAATATTGATTACCAATTATTGATAGAAATCTGCACTAAAAAGTAGAATTAATAAAAACTACACCTTTAAAAAAGTAACCAAGTGGGGGCAGCTAGGTGGCACATTGGATAGAGCACCGGCCCTAAAGTCAGGAGGACCTGAGTTCAAATCTGGCCTCAGACACTTCCTAGCTGTGTGACCCTGGGCAAGTCACTTAACCCCACATCCTAGACCAAAAAAAAGTGTAACCAAGTTCCACCAAGTGAAACCAGGTTAAATTAGTTTTTAAATCAGTATATTTCATTGTACACAAAAGGTCTACCCCAAAAAACCAGTAAGGATTAATAAAGTCTAAAAAGCTTTGCGATTTCACAAGGTTTCTTGAATAGGCAGTAATTATATCTTCAACTTCCAGTTCTCACAGGACACATTACTTGTGCCTTTCTTTACTAGTGCATGTTAAAAAGCCACTGGACTTAACCAGGAATCAGCTGATACTCAATAGGACAGAGAAATTCCTTGATATACTTTTATTTTTTACTTTTATTATTTTGGGGGGAGGGTGGGAGGAGAGAGACAATCAGGGTTAAGTGACTTGCCCAGGGTCACACAGCTAGGAAGTGTCTGAGGTCAGATTTTAACTCAGGTCCTCCTAACTCCAGGGTCAGTGCTCTATCCACTGAGCCACCTAACTGTCCCTAGAATTCTTCTTAGTTTAAAAAAAAAAGAAAAGATCATTGCTTTAGGAGAATCCCTTGGTCTAAGAGCAGCCATATTTTAGCAATGTTTACAACTTTAAGAATCTGGATGGCTAGCAGAAGTCAGCCATCTGACTGGGGGCAATATCCCTACCACATGCAACAATGTTTTTTGGCCCTGAAGGCCTGAACTCTCTGAAGACTAGCTTCTCAGAGAGTAGGGTCACAGCTCCAAGAACGAATTGTGGCTTTCCAAAATTTAATAATGTCTTACCCCATCTACTTAAATCCCTCATCAATGAATGGGCATGGGCAGGGAAAACTGTTGATACTTTTTCTGGGAGGAAAGGAGAAGTCACTTTGGCCACAGTAAACAAAATATGGCAGAGCAAACTAATGGTACAAATGTTTGAATTAAACAGAAAAATAAAAATTAACCAAAAAAAAAAACCAAATTTAATAAGACTCAGAAAATGTTTTCCTTAATTTGTCTATTACTTTTAAATAAAAATGTGCTGAGTTGCTATGCAACAAGCAATACCTACATCTAAAAACAAACCAGAGCATTCAGTTCGAATCATTATAAACTAAAAGAATGTTTGGTTTTAAAGGCTGGAATCAACCAGGTTGTAATGCCAGAATCTGATAATCTACAAAGAGACTAGCTGTTTTTCATTCCAAACAGTCTAAACACTTAAAAAGCCTGGTTTCATTTTCTAGTAAAAAGAAGGGGGAGAAATGTTTATAAAGACAAATACTTAATCTTTTTACACTACCTTTTTCTATGCTTCCATTAATTTTACATAAGAAGTCATCAGCTTGTATCCATAGGATTAAGAAACAGTATCACTGCCTGATTAAAGAAAATATATCTATATTTTAAACGGATCTACAAGGCAACAAATGACCTAGTACTGTTCTGTAGTACTTCACTGCTCACAAACTAAACTTCTACAAAATGACCTCAATTTCTTGTCACATACTTGTTAAAAAAAAAAAAAAGTCATTGCTTAGCACAAATAAAGAACTGAAAAGCAGACAATTGTGTAACAAGCATACACCACAACCATAAAACACAGTACTCACGCCAAAAGCCCCCAAGAGCACTAATCCAGATAAGCACAACTCCTCTGAGATATTTCAAAGCCTAAACAGTGATGCCCTCTGCTGGTAGCTTCAAGGTTTTTCTGTTGGTTTTTTTTTTTTAAAAACTCTTTAATTCTAAACTCTGGCTCTCTGATAGATCAGTCATTTCCTTTGAAAAGAAAACATTCTGAAATAACCAGGGCTAAAAGGTGAGAGACAAGGTCCAGCTTTAAATAAGAAGTCGAGGCCCCACCTATCCACACTTCTGAGCTCTTCAAGAGTTTTCACTTAAAGATCTTCTAACCAGACTCTAAACAAATTCCAAGGAAGAGATCTTCCACAGAGGAAGAGACCACCTTTTCACTTGGCCAGCTTACCCTGCAGGGCCATGAGCCTCTCGTTGGTGAAGTCGTTGTCAGCCTGCAAGGCTTCAATTCTGGCCTGAAGCTCCTGCTCTTTCTCTTCCATTTCATCGATTTTATGTTGCAATTCCTTTTTTTCAGCTTGTCCCTTTTGCTGGATTTCTTCTTGTCTTCCTTCAGCTGCCTATTTAAAAAAAAAATGATAAAGAAATCAACCTGGAAATATTAACAATACCTGTATGACTGCCCTGAGCTTCTAACTATGAAAGCCCGGTCACTGCTGCCACAGGTCAGCTGGCCAATGGCAAGGCCCAAAGCGAAGCCCAGCTGGCATCAGTCAGTACAGGACAGGTGTAGTGGGAGGTATGTGGGAGAATCATGTCATTGGGCCCAAGCTTCTCCAACAACGGATTTCTTGGAGCCTGTCCTCTTTGTAGTGCCATTTTCTCGTGTTATTACTTCTGAAAGTTTCCCTGCCTTAAGTATCTTGCTACATCATTAAGCAAAATACCTAATTTTCTGTTTACTCAGTTCAAACACTTACTAAATACCCACTAGTTAATGGGCATTCACCTATATTTTATTATATTTACTAACATTTTATTAATAATTTATTAATATTTCATGTTAATGGAAATTTATTTATAATTTGTTAAGTGCCCGTTATTAATGCCTGGTGGTACAGAGTCTGGCCACAAAAGATATAAAGATGAAAAATAACGGTCCCTGACCACAAGGAATTTGGAACTTCATGGTAGGTTAGGACATCCAGACAAGTATGAGAGAAGTATGAGAGAATGTGGTCAATGCAAAGGGGAGGTAGACAAAAAGTGTTCTAAATTCGAAGAGCAATGATCACCTTGGGGAAGGCAAGCTGGAGAGTAGGAAGAAAAGTGCCTCACACAATAATGTCACCTGAGCTGCATGACAAGCCTCAATCAAGACAAGAAAAAGCATCAGAAAGGTCACAACTTGTCTAGGGTCAAGAAGTTAGTTGAAGACACAGGATTTGAACCTGGGCCCTCCTAAAGGGGTCCAACTTAATTTCCATTAGGCCAGGAAACAGCAGAATCGGCCCAGAAACTCAAAAAGGGTGAAATCAGGCTGGCAAGGGAGGGTGGGCCTACATGGTAAGTGGTTTACCATAGCAGTAATTGAAGGAGAAATTGGGTAAGAGACTAGAGGAGGAAGACCAATTAGGAGGAGTCAAGCTGAGGGGAGGGGACTCTCACTAAAAAGTGAAGAGAAAGGAGAAAAGGCAGAAAATATTGTGGCAGTAAATTAAAAAGGATTCGGCAAATGATCAAATGTGGCAAGCATGCTACTGTGTTCAAAGAAATGACAAGGAGAGTTCAGAAAAACCTTGGAAGACTTATATGAACTGACACAAAGTGCAGTGGGCAGAACCAGAAGTAGATTGTATACTGTAACAGTAATATTGCTAGCATTACAATGATCCAAGCAAGACAATTCCAAAGGACTTATGAGGAAACATGTTATCCACCTCCAGAGAAAGAACTGACGAATTTCGAACACAGACTGAAGCATGCTTTTTTTTTTATTTCCCTTGGGTTTTTTTGTTTTAGTCTGTATTCTCTTTTGCAACATGGTAATATGAAAACATGTTTTGCATGACTGCACATGTATAATCTATATCAAACTGCTTGCCTTCTTAAGGAGGGGGTTGGGAAGAAAAAAGAATTTTGAATTCAAAAATTATATTAAAAATGAATGTTAAAAATTGTTTTTACATGTAATTGAGAAAAAATATAAAAACATTAGCTTTTTTAAAAAAATGTGGCAAATAAGGGAAAAGAAGCACCAAAGATGGCTCCCAAGTTTCAAGCCTGGGTGAGGAATGATAAAATGGCCAACAGTAAGAGGAAAGTTGGAGGAAGGCAAGGCTTAGGAGACTTGGGAGAAAAGTAAGTTTCTTTCTAGACGTGCTCAGCTTGACTTCTTGGCAGGGACTTGTCAAAGATCGTTATCCTTGTCAAAAAAAAAGAGTCATACAAAAGTTGGAACAAGCCTCAGAGACTGCTCAAGGCCCTCAGAACTTCCTGACCACGCAGGGAGGATGAGTCAGATGCTTTGCAGGCAAATGAAAAGACAGGTGTGAAACTAAGAGAGAGGCTACAGCTAGGGAGAACATTGGGGAGTAATCTAAATAGAGGTGATACTGAATCCTAGGGTCATAAACACTAGAGATTTTATTTCTTTTTTAATAGTATTTTATTTTTTCCAATTACATGTTAAAGACAAATTTTAACATTCATTTTTAAAATTTTAATTTCTAAATTTTCTCACTCCTTCCCTTACCTCCCCATTCCGAAAATAATAAGCAATTTGATATAAGTTTTCTCATGTAAAACATATTTCCATATTAGTCATGTTGTAAAAAAAAAAAAAAAAGAAAGAAAGAAATAGACCAAACAAAAAAAAAAAAAACCACAGAAAAATTAATTTAAAATAGTGTGCTTCAATCTGTATTCAGACTCCATCAGTTCTTTCTCTGGATGTGGACAGCATTTCCCATCCTTTGTCCTTTGTAACTATCTTAGATCACTGTATTACTGAGAACAGCCAAGTCATTCACAGTTGATCACTTTACAACATTGCTGTTACTGTGTACAATGTTCTCCTGGTTCTGCTCCCTTCACTTTGCATCAGTTTACATGAGTCTTTCCAGGATTTTCTCAATAGATTAAGCTCACACTAGAAATTTTAAATGACTTTTCCATAGGGTTTTTCTCTATTTACATAATTTCCTCTATCACTATCATGAAATTTTATTTTTATTCTCTGTCTCCAACTTTCAGGGATCTGCGACATGGAAGGCAGAAATCACAGGGATGAATAATGGTCTATGCTATCAACGATGTCTCATTTGAGCTATGACTGTTAAACCTACATTATTATCCAAGAACAGACCACCACCCATCTCTGCTGTTAGGTCCTGAAGGACAAAGTTGCACACCTCTAGGGAGCTGAACACTTACCTTTAATTTATCAGAGAGATCTTTAATCTCATTAACCGCTCCATTATATTTATTGGCCAATTCTCTTAATTCTTCCTGAGTCCTTTCATTCATTTCTTTCAGGTGGGTACATTCATCTTCAGTATTACTCAGACTTCGCTGAAATTAAGTCATTCATTTAGAATAAAATAAATTCCAATTTCAATTTACAAAAAAGAGAATTAAAATACACTTATCTTGTTATATTCTCAGTGTTTTCATTGGAGGAGAAAAGGGGAACAATTAATAAATGCGAAAACATGGTATACACAAGGTCATTTTACACAATACATTGAAGAAACTGAAATGATTTTACATTTACTAGGAAAACTTAAAGGAATTCTATTTTTCTAATTCCTCTTTTGCATAAATCTAGATTATTGTTTATTTGAATTCTTCAAAGTAATCACTGGCTGTTGCTTTCAAGTCAGATGAGAATGGGATATGTCAAGGTAGATATAAAATGAGCTTCAAGAGTCTGAAAAATAAAATTAAAGTAAATTTACAAATCTATTCTTTTCCCAAAGCAACATGAACAAGAAATAAAACCTAATTTAATTTTGTGTTTGTCATAAATCAATAAATGCATAAAGGACTCTTATTTGGAGACTGAATTAAATGTTCCAATTTAAATTTAGTAAATATATGTTCTTGGGAGGGTTTCTAATTCTGATTCTGAAAACAAATAGCTAAGGGAAGAGGTTGTAGCTTTTATACTCTGTATTTTGAAAACAGGCTAATGTTGCTGATGTTCAGTCGTTATGGTCACATCCAACTCTTCATGACCTCATTTGGGGTTTTCTTGGCAAAGATACTGAAATGGTTTGCCATCCTTGTCTAGCTCATTTTACAGATGAGGAAACTGAGGCAAACAGGTTAAGTTACTTGCTCAGGGTCACACAGCTATTAAGTGTCTAAGGTCAGATTTGAGTTCAGGTTTTCCTAACTCCAGGCCTGGTGCCCTATTCACTGTGCCATCTAGCATCCCTGATAGCCTAATAATAGGTATGAATTTAATTCTAAAAGACATTTTAATGACAACTTTTAAAAACAGAAGAAATGAAAAGCAAGAGAAGTTGTTGGATTGGGTTTTGAGGGTTGTTTTTTGTTTTGTTTTTGGCTTTGCTTACAAAAAAATTAGGTGTCATCTACCCCAACTTCCCTGACAGAGGTTTACCTATCATGTCATTGGCTACATGAGATAGTGCCCCCAGAACCACAAAACTGACAATTAGCATTCAGAAACTCTCATGCAAAGGTTCTTCACCGTTTTGGGGTGATGGATGCCTGGTGAAGCCTACGGACCCTTTTTCAGAATAATGTTTTTAAATAATTGAAGGCAATGCTCAACTTCAATTAGAGGTGAGTGAAAATAAAAAGGTCATTTTGTCCTCATCCTGGACATCCTGGAGCCCCTGAAATCTGCTAGTAAACTTTAGGTGGAGAACTCTTGCTCTGGCTGAGGGGGACGTTCTCTCCAAGGATGCAGATCATAAGATCATCCATTTCTCTATCACATGAAGGTTCTCAAAGCCCTTTCTATCTTATCCGAACCACAGCTGCCTATACGAGGTGACTCCCTGATCTACAGACATTACAATGAAAGCTGGGCAGCACAGCGGCTGTTTACCCTTAGCCGGATCCCTCAGTCTCACTACATACGACTAGCCTATTTTTGGATCCTACAGCACGTCTCTTTGGTATGGCCCCTGTACCACCAGATCGAATTCTTCTTTGAAATCCCTTACCTGTTACATGTTTCAATCTTTGTCCCTACCACATGCCACTCCAGTGACCCCTGTGGTGACACTCATCTTTAATTCTTGGGGGACAGCACTGTGCCATGGCTTACAGTCCTACCACAATCATCCACACAAGATACTGCAATGGCTCACCATGGCATGGTGGTGACTCTGGGTCTCTGAAGGCTTAGGCCAACCCTAGAAGCTCTTCCCATGCTAATAAGACTGAGTGACATGCTGGTCATAGAGTGAGGTGGCTTTATGATGCCAAGACTAGCTAAGTACAAGGATACTCATCACCAGTAGGCTGACATACTTTGGCAATCAAAGAAGATCAGCACCCCACTTGTCTTTTAGTCTCTTGTAATCTAGTTTATAATAATTTACAATCTAGTTATAATCGACCATTTCAACAAACATTTGCTAAGCACCTAACACAGATGTAGCACTATGCTCAATGCTGCTAGAGTACAAGATCTGAAATTTTTCATGTGGCTCAAACCAATAAACTTTGTTATTGATGTGTCAGGAGAAAAAGCCCCAACCCCATTTCACTTCTTCTTGAATCTCATGAGTTAGAAGTTAGAGAACTGTAGTCCTCCTATGTACATGCCTGTCCCACTACCATCAAGTGAGAGAGAGAAAAGCACTACTGCAAATGAGGCTAACATCATCAACTGGGCCTGTCTGTAGCTCAAACCTATCAACAGACTTAAGATTAACCTTCGAGTACCTTCACCCTCTGACTAATGATAAGCTGTGGTCCATTTACATATTCAGGCGGTCAAGCATGTTGGCAAAACAGGTGAATATCATTCAACCCTGTCTATTCCCATTACAAGACGGAAACTGGTGATTTAAAGCAGTGAGATAAAAACCAAAGTTTCTGGGCACCTGCCAGGAGGAGTTTAAGGAAAGCACACTGTCAAAAGTGAAGTACCACAGAAGCATGAGACCATACAAAGAGCAGAGGACGCTGGTATGGTGAGCAGTTTCTACATCACAGACAAATGACCATGAGCTTTCCTGGTTGGTGAGAAAATGCACTAACCTCAATCAAAAAGAAACAAATGAAGAATTCTACATACCTCAACTTCTGAGAGTTTTCTGACCACTTCGATTTTCTCCTGAAGTACCCGCCTCAGGGACTCTTTGGCTGTTGTCTCATAGTTGTGTTTATCTTCCTGTAACGCTACAAGTTCCTTCCTTAAACTATCTTCTGTCTGATTCTAAGAAGGAAAAATTATTACGAAAGCCAGTCAGTCCATAAGCATTTGTTAAGCACCTACTACTTTCTAGGCATTCTGTGCGCTGGGGATACAAAGAAAGGCCAGAGACCAGTCTCTGCTCTCAAGGAACTCAAAGTTTAAAAAAACAAACCAAAAAACAGCCATTTCTAACATATGAACAATTCATTAGGGTATGGATGCCATGAGCACAACCACCTTCGAGTAGCCTCCCTCTCCAAATAATTACAAAACGTATGATGACGTGTAAAGTCTGGTCAAGGGGGGTCTTTAGTCAGGGATTTCCTCTGGTCCACAGGGACACCTGAAAGCTTGACCTGCAACTTGGGCTTCTAGGGATGAGTTCATGTGGTTGACAGAAAAAAAACTTAAAACCCAAAAACCTAACCCAGACTCAAGACTTGCGGTCAAACTTGAAAACAGAGTCATTCTGACAGGGATCACTTCCTCTACAAGCCACAAGATGTACACCAGGGCATGGAGACAGAAAAAGAAACCCCCAGATTCCTCCATGTACAATTATACTATATAAATGAGTTGGGGTACCTACTTTAGAACATACTTGTAACTGGTTTCCCATAACTTCTAACCGTGATAACAGTCTATCTTCATCTATTAAAGCCTGTAAAAGAAAAGGTTTAAAATACACAAAAACATTTTACTAATAGGGCTAATAAGCACTGCTCTTTGATGAAACTAGATTTTTATGAAAAAAAATCATATATATGTACATATATATATACACATGTATCTATGTATGCATGCATACATGCGCCTTTCCATTGCCAAGTATAGATCTGTAATTACAAGGTTAACTAACCTTACTTAATAAAATGCTTTCTTTCACGTGAGAACATTTTATGTGGGGATTATGAAACCTGTTATGACTCCATATATTTTAGCTTGCTCCATATCAGAGAATGAAGCTCTCCTGTTCTTTGTAAGAAGAAGCTGCACTTTGGAAGGGCAATCTTGTGCATACCTGCCAGCTAGTGTCAGAGGCCTCCTGCGTGACGGCCAGCAGCCGCTGAAGCGTGGCCAGCTTTTGTTCCAACATCTGCTCCCGATGTAAGGCTTCCTAATAATGGAGAAAAAAAAGTACAAAAACTAATTTCAAAATATTCTTGAAAAAAAAATCAGAATTTGATTTTTAAAAAGTTTAATTTTTTTTACCAAATAGAGGAAAACACTATTATATACCTTATCTTCTAACATTTTACAATGTGCTTAACAAACTTGTGAAGTAAGTTCAGGTCATTTCAACATCTTGACTCTTTTAAATCGAGATTAAAGCACATCTGGTTTGAAATCAACTCTTACAAAAAACAGTATTGTGAATAATTGTCCATTCACAACTCACAGAAAGTCTGTGAAATACTGAGTAAAATTTGCTAATGAACACAATTCTACATGTTAGAAATACAATTAAGACCCAAGGGTACCACTTCAAAAGGATTCCAAATTAAAAGCAATTAGTTTTAAAATGGTTAAATGTTAACTTAAGCTGCTTAAAATATTGAGAACTTACTAATTTCATTCAATAAAAATAGGAATTAAGAATATCAGGAATCTAAAGGACAACTGTGCCCCCCTTCTGAGTGTCTGCAGCAAAAAATGGCATACCTGTAAAGAGGATATTCTGGCTCAGCACCTACCCACTGGCATGAGAGGCTACTGAGATCACCATGCTCAAAACATAGGGGAGGCCAGTGGAACGTGGGGGGCACAGAGAGTCAGGGAGTTATGTGCAAGTATCCAGCAGCTTTTAAGACCCCATTTTAAGAGTCTGATGTGAGGCAGCTATGATATTGCCAACTATCCAAGGGTGACTGGGAGGGTGCCCTTCAGTCAACAGCCACGTTGATGATGGACACATAAAAGAGGTCCTTAATGACTGAGGAATTCCTTCAGACTTCAAACTCCTACTGTATTTGTTTCCATTGCAAAAACATTTTTGTATATTAATGGAAACATCATCAACAAAAAGTCAGATGTACTAAAAAAAGAGACAGTGCTTGAATCTAGAAATGTGGCTTTTTTCCATTCTACATATTGGATGAATGATATTTGGGAAAAGCTGATAACCAATACTAGTTAAGACAGACCTTCGATTTTTAGCCCAACTATAAACAATGAAATGAAGAACTCTAAATGAGTTGGGCAGCTAGGTGGTACAGTAGATAGAATGCTGGAATTGGAGTCAGGAGGATTTGAGTTCAAATCTGCCTTCTGATACTTACTAGGTGTGACCCTGGGCAAGTAATTTAACCTTATTTGCCTCAGTTTCCACAACTGTAAAATGAGCTAGAGAAGGAAATGGCAAATCACTCCAGTATCTTTGAAAGAAAACCCCAAATGGGGCCATGAAGAGTCAGACATGACTGAAATGACTGAACAGCAAAAATGAAATTCATGCCAACTCAGAACTAGTGTTAAAGGGCATCTTATTCTCACAAATAGGTCATTTATCTCAAAACAGCATGAATAAAGTTACTATGTGGATTTTTTTCTAGGTGTCGGAAGTATTTTAATATTCCACTAGATGGTGGAATGTACTTAATTCAAGTCAGCTGAAGCACCGAAAACACAAACTACATCTCAACTAAAATACACTACTTCAAGAAAATAGCTCCAATTCCAAGGCAGGTAACACTATTCTAGTATTACTCAACTATTCCAGCATTAACCTAACTTGCCTACTACTGATAGATTCTCTTATTTTTTTCTTGATAAACGGCCGATCCGAAATAGTCTGACCAAGCCCTGCAATCCATCCATTACTCAACAGACACGTTATATCAAGTGTTCTTTACGCTGGCGACCCTGAGGCTGGAAAGCAGGGTTTCCTCCCCTCTGCTTCTTAAAGTCCCTAGTTTCCTTCAAAGTTGAGCTCGTTTCTTTTTGAGGTGTCAAAGAATTGGAAACTGAGGGGATGTCCATCAACTAGGGAATGGCTGAACAACTTGTGGTATATGATTGTGACAGAAGATTATTGTGCTATAAGAAATGACGAGTAGGACAGTCTTGGAAAAACTGGAGAGTCTTACATGAACTGATGCAAAGTCAAGTGAGTAAAACCAAGAGAACATTGTACCAGCAATATTATAAGGATGATCAACTGTGAAAGCCTTAGCTACTGTGATGGAGATAATGATCTAAGACAATTCCAAAGGACCCATGATGAAAAATGCTATCGACTTCCAGAGAAAGTACTGATGTACTTTGAGTGCAGACTGAAAAGTAAGTTTTTCCACTTTATTTTTCTTGCCTTTTTTTTGCGGGGGGGGGGGGGAAGGGGGCACAACGAGGCTAATAGGGAAATATCTTTGGTATGACTTCACATGTACAATGGGTATCATATTGTATGCCTTCCCAATTAGTGGGGGAGGGGCTGGAGGGAAAGAACTGGGGACTCAAAATTTTTAAAAAATCAATGTTAAAAAAAAACCTGAGCTTGTATCATTCCTATATGAGGCTTTCCTGATCCCCCCACTGCTTCTGTATTAACCTCGATCTTGGGCGTATTTTCTACATACTTACATACCTACATGTCTGTTTCCTCTGGTAAAACACGAGCTTCTTGAGTGCAGGACCTTTTCACTTTTGTCTCTGTATCCTTAACACTCAGTAGAATGCTAGACGTTATTTTTGAAAAACCAGCATGAAGAGGAGCCTGGGGCACTGAGAGATAAATGGAAATCACAGTCCCATAGCTAGAAAGCAGCACAAGGAGAACTGGAACCCAACTCCGTATCCAACGTACTCTAATGCCTCTCCACCCTCACACGTAAGAGGGACTTAATAAAAACTTGTATTTGGTAGCCTGAGGCCCCAAAGCGTGAAGTGACTCAGTCACAGTTGCCCAAGGTTTTCTTGACCCCAAGTTTTTTTTTTGTAATAATTAATTTATTTTTCGTTTTCAACATTCACTTCCCTTAAGATTTTGAGTTGACAGTGTGCAATCCGATATAGGCTCTACGTATACACTCATATTAGCACATTTTCACATTAGTTATGATGTAAAGAAGAATTAGAACTAATGGGAGGAACCACAAGAAAGAAGAAATAAAACAAAACAACAAAAGAGAAGGAGAACAGTCTGCTTCCCTCTGTATTCTGACTCCATAGTTCTTTCTCTGGATGTGGATAGCATTTTCCATCATGAGACTTTTGGAGTTGTCTTAGATCCTTGCATTGCTGAGAAGAGCTAAGTCTATCAAAGTCAGTCATCACACAACGTGGCTGTTACTGTGTACAATGTTCTCCTGGTTCTGCTCGCTTCACGCAGCATCAGTCCATACAAGTCTTTCCAGGTTTTTCTGAAGTCTGCCTGCTCACCATTTCTTACAGCACAATAGTATTCCATTACATTCATATACCACAACTTGTTCAGCCATTCCCCAATTGATGGGCATCCCCTCACTTTCCAATTCTTGGCCATCATAAAAAGAGCTGCTATAAATATTTTTGTACATGTGGGTTTCCGTTTTTATGCTCTCTTTCGGATACAGCCCTAGAAATGGTATTGCTGGGTCAAAGGGAATCCTGACCCCAAGTTTTGGCACACGCACAGGAAAAGGTCCAAAACTGAGTTCAAAGAATGCTCAGTCTGGCAATGATGACTAACAGGAGCTAACAACAGAGGGAAAGAATCACAGAAGAAGAATGAAGACCTAAAATAATGAAAGGAAAAATGAGACTGTGGAAAAGTCAATGAAGATAGAGCAGGAGGAGAGGTTGGCAAGAGTGCCTGAGACAGCAGGAAACAGGACTTCTAGTGCTAGTGCAGCCATTAAGAAAAATCAAAGGGCTAAATTAAGGTCACAGGAGAAGAGGAAAGAGATCATAAACCTGTTATAAAGGAGGAGGAGGAGAAAAAAGTGAAAGAGGAAGAAGAAAACGAGAAGGAAGAAGATGAACAAAAATGGGAAGAAAAAAGTGACCAAGTGTTATTTTGCTTCTGTAGAACGTACAGAAGGAGAGAACAAAGAATAGTTAACAGGGAGTTCAAACTCAAAATAAGTAAAGACATAATCAAAAAAAGCTTTGCTGCCTTAATCAGCTGAAGTCACCATGAGATCAACAGAGCACTTAAAGAAAAGGCTGAGAAGCACACTCCAGTGTTCAAATAAAGGGGGTGAACTCCATCTGCAGGCTGGTGAGTAAGAATCTGACTCCTGACAAAACCAGAAGACCCATTATGAAAGGGACGCCTGGTAAGCACTTAGACAGGGAAGAGGTGACCACCAAGATTACAAGTTCACGAAAAAGCGGCAGCGCCCAACTACCTTCATGTCCTTTGGAGAGAGAGAGATGGGGCAACGCTGGTGTAACCAAAAATATTCAGACAGTCTTGGGACATCTGATAAGCACTTCATAGTTTGGGAGGCATTCTCATCCCCATGTTACAGATGAGGAAACTGAGGTCTGAAGAGGTTAACTGCCCATGATCACACATTTCACAGGATCACTGGGTATGAACCTTCAAGTTCAGCACTAACCACCACACCATACTTTCTCAATACTTCGGCACTGCATGTGACCACAGTTCTAATATCACTGTGGGCTAGAGGTCGCAATGCAAAGTACAGAAAGCTGGACAAATTGTGCCTGGCTCACTCACCAGGTTATTTTAACAGTCATCAATAATGCCTTACAACTAACCCAGAGGGAGGCCTACATTGGAATCCTTCCATCCTGCATCTGTGAAATTGTGGTTCTGACTGGAGAGTGCTTCCTAGAACATGAGCCTCCACCCCAATCACCTGAGCACCGCTGCCCTAACACCTGCAATGCTGGCCCCTCACCTTTATTTTTTAGCTTCCTTGGTTTCCTTCCAGACTCGGCTCAAATCCTACCTTCTGCAGTAGGCCTTGCCTGATCCCCTCCTAGCAGCACCTTCCCTAACTTGTCTTCCAACTTTCCCACACATGACCTCATACAGATTTAAGTCTATGTCACAACTGTGCCAACATGCCAGGTTTTCCCCATCCCGCATTTGTTAAGTGACTTAAGTCATTTTATGTATTTCATTTCTAGGTTCTAATCTCCCAAATGCTCAAGAGTTAGTTTTTACCTGTAGATACTGTGAAAGTTGGAACAGTTCCTGAGAGTACATACTTGGAGTGTTAGCAGCAACCTATAGACAAGAAGAGATATGCCATCAAAATCTGTTGAAGGTACTTTACAGAAGCTTGAGGTCCACAAAATTCAAAGAAATATTTACTTATCCATGTATATGTTATAAC